AGCCAACGTCGGTGGCTGAAGCTCTAAGTGCTCCAGATGCGAAAGAGTGGATTGAAGCATTAGAGACTGAGTACAAAGAGCTGATACGAAATCATGTTTGGGAACTGGTTGATCGTCCTACTGGGGTGAAATTTCTAAAGAATAAGTGGGTTTTCGTCCGGAAACGAAATGCACAAGGCGAAGTGTGTAGATACCGAGAACGGATTACTATCAAAGGATGTCAGCAAGAGCTCGGTGTCAACTTCTGGGAAACCTACGCAAAAGCTTAGTCAGTGAGATTTATACTGCTGCTGGCGCTGTTCTTAGGGCTTCTATGTCGTCAGGTGGACTTCGTCACTGCGTTTCTGAATGGACCGTTGGACGACGTAGATATTTACATGGAGCAGTTTGACAAATTTGATGACGGCACTGGCCGCGTTTGTAAGTTCCAGCAAAGCCTCTATGGATTGCGACAAGCACCGCGTATTTGGTACCAGATGCTGGATAAGTACCTACGAAAGAGTGGCTTTGAGCGTACCAAAATGGATGCTGGTGTGTATGTGAGAACAGTGGGAGCAAACAAAATATACCTGACGGTATACGTCGATGACCTTTTGATCGTTGGCACTGAGTCCGGCACTGAGATGGTTCTTGCAGAGCTGAAGAGTGAGTTCAAGATTAAGGATTTGGGCAATGTGAAGCATTTATTAGGAATGGAGATCACGTACGTGCCGGGGTGCATGCTGGCGATTTCCCAGAAGGGCTACACTGAGAAGATTCTCGTGCGTTGCAAGATGGATAAGTGCAAGCCTGTTCCTACGCCTCAGGTGAAAGGAAACTTTTCGATGCCTGGAAATCCGGATGTGGAGCTAGTGTGTATAAACCCAGACCCGGATGTGGACTATCGGCAGATTGTTGGTTCGTTACAATATCTGGTGCAGTGTACACGCCCAGATATTGCCAACGCTGTACGCACGCTAGGAAAGTTTCTGAATTGCTTTACAAGAGAGCATCATGTGTTGGCAAAAAGAGTGTTACGTTACTTGAGAGGTACATCCGACTACGGACTTGTGTGGACAAGTTCTGAAAAGCCAGATATGCAGTTTGTGGCATATGGTTGAATATCATCACCGTGCCGACACAATTTTTAACTTGATTAAAGTATCGGCAATATGACTGACAAGACGGTTTTTGACCAATGAAATCAGTATTAAAAATATATCAACCAATAACACACATTAGGGATAGGGTAAAATGGCACCGACGCTATGCCGACGTATAATGTAGGCAAGGGGGAGGAAATATGTTGAGAGACAATACAAGCCACAAATTTAGCGCAAATCATTCGTGTATTTGCTTTCTCGCCGACAAAACACTCCAATTCATTATGAGTCTGGAAGACCTCGCTCCCTTAAACTCTCAGCGCGCTCGACAAACGACAATCAACACCTTCGATCGCTTTATTGCGGCCGAGGGCGTCTCCATGGACTTCGTTGCGGTATGTTTGGTGGTGGATGCAAGTGGTGGCGTCTTCCTAAAGCTGCTGGACCGTTTCGGCGTGCACCTAGCATTTTTGGAGGGTAGGGGAGGCAAACTACTTGCAAGGAACTCCGTCATAAGCTACTACCGCCATGTGAAGAACTGGCTTCTTGATACGTACCCGAAGCACAGAGCTTCAATCGAGAAGAAGCTGGCCAAACCCTCGAACGGCACTGCCTCAAGATTGTTGGGGGGGGGGGGATGATCAAGAAAGCACCGGTTTGCACGAAGGAGGACCTACGAATTCTCATGGATGGGCTTTACTATGATGCGTCCAGCTCCGAAGACTATCAAGACACAGCTCTGCTCGCACTAATGTGGTATGCGTTTGGCCGTGCGTCGGATCTAGGCTTCGTGCTCAAGGGAAATTTGTTTGTTAGTGCTGATGGAGTGGTGTTTGTAAACTAATTCGTGTGAAGACAGCAGAAGAGCAGGGGATTTCGCTCTTTCCGGACAGAGACAGCTTCATTACGTGTCCACTTCATGCTATTACTATGGCGTTGGTGATGCAAGACGCCCCTTGTGGCAGTTGCTCGAGCACCCTCATCTCGCAGCTACCCACGATGAAAACTTGGACGCGCCTACCGACATTCCTCTGGCTGAAGCTCTGGATGTCTGTGATGAACTTGATAGCTCAATCGAGCCCCCTCAAACGAAACGGAAGTTACCTGACGAAAAAATGAAGATTCATGCGTCCGTGAACCGCGTTGTCAAGTCTGCTTCTGCTACTCAGGCTAAAGCAAAGCCAACGGCAAATTTGACTTCTCATTCGTTCCGACGCGGCGGAGCGCAGCATGCCAACAGCGACCCACTTCTTAGTGCTCAGTGGATTTTTGGTCGGGGCTCATAGAATATGACAGCAACGAATAAGGCATTTGCTTACGTGTTCAACACGACAAGCGAAGATCAGAAGGTAGCTCGCGTTTCCAGCGGTTGGGATTCAAGCAAGAAGCCTCCAGTACCGACGTTATCTTGGTTTGATTCCGCAAGCAGACAAAGAGCGCTGGAGCTGAGCACCTGCTATTTCAATCCAGCGTAAACACTCAAGACCCCGACAAAAAAACTCAACAGTCGCGTCGCTGGAGTCCTTACTGCTTCGTTGATCCAGTATTTTCCTGAGGTCTTAGAACGTTATCCTATGTGCCTGTACGCAGCTAGGATACGGCAATGTTTGATGGCACTTGGGTTGACCAAAACGCAAGTAATGGCCTGGAGCTCCGAACTTCAAAGCAAGGCGTCCCGGAAAGAGCTTGAGGAATCCAGTGAGGATGCCGAGAAATTGACAAGCGAGGACAAACTCATAAACTACCGCATAATTGGAGTGTTGGTGGCGATGAACCGAGCTCTATCCGAAAGGATCACATCGCTTGAGACGCGAGCGGGTCGCACTCAGCAGGATCGTGAACCCACGGCAGGGTAGTTGTAACCCGAAGTTGAGCGCACTAATCCAAAAGGGTGTGGAAGCAAGGCGTTACCAAAG